TATATATATATTTTAAATGTAAGAAGACCAATCTCTAATATCGCGCGTAAATCAATATAACAAAATGAGAACAATTTTATATGGAGAGTATGAATATATCATAGATAATAGCACACCCACTGTTCACTCAGTTCATCCATTAAATCTACTCTCTAGGTAAATGCAATAAGCTTGTCAATTAATGCCAACATAGTGTAAGTAAGTTATCCCACACAAGACACACACCGTTTAGGCTTGTTTATTTTAGCACAGCTCCTAAAAGTATGCCGTAAAACTAGTTTCACTTAACTGTTGTTTGCTTTCTGAACCGCACACAGAAAATGGCGTCAAGAAGGTCGTCCGGGCCTGCTACTTCGGGGAGGTGAACGAAACGGAGATTGGCTGCAAGCTGGACCCTACGCTGACATCCGTGCAGAATGCCAGCTGCCACGTCTGCAACAATGAGAACTTCTGCAATGGCGCAACTCAGCCCGAGCTGGATGTGTGGAAGCTGCCGGCGCTGGCGCTGTTCATTGTGGCAGCGCAGTGGCTGCGCGCTGGCCAGCGGGATGTATGAGGCATATTTGAGGCATTAGACATTAAGTTGTTGTTGTTGTGAATGGCCATGGCCAAGAGAGCGAGAAAGCTCTAAAGGCCAGCTAATAAAATCTAAATTAATGTAGAATAAAGCAAATTTGTTTATTTGTGCGCCGCAATGAACTTAGGGGGCAAACGGCGAGTGCGGCATCAGCAAAGGCACACACACACACACAAGCGCACACTCACACAAGCGCACACACAATAGCGCCGTGTATTTTGCTCCATTTCATGTTTCATGTCAACGGACATTTATTTTCGGCTATCAAAATGCCGTTCATACCATTTCCATGTATGTGTGTGTAGGTGTGTGTGTGTGTGGCCAGTACTAGACGCGGTCAGGCAAATGAAAAGCAAATGTGTTATATGGAAAAAAAGACGAGAAAGAAAATAACGCAAAAAGAATGAATACAAAACTCATCATTCAGAATGCGATTGGCGTTGGCTCAGTCTCGTGTGTGCAGCTCGTCCGGTTGGTTCGGCCATGTGACGCTCCGGCGCGATCAACGGGGCCCAATCTGTGCACTCATTTAACACACCGAAACAAACTATCCATCATCTGTATTCGTACCTGTGCGCGAAACCCACACACACACATACACACACACACCCGTGCCCCCGCAAAAACACACAAGCCGCTGGTTATGTTGGGGCATTGGGCGTTGACGCTGGGGCTGCTGCTCGCATCGCTATCGGCCACAGGTGAGCGCATCGAACGTGTCATACATTGTTGACACACATACTAAACACACGCAAAAAAAAAGAGAAGAAAAAAAATAAACACGCACACACGTTTCACAGCTCTGGCCGTTAGCTGCTACGAATGCGATTCCGTCAACGATTCGAATTGTGGCGATAATTTCCAGCCAGATGACATTGCCAAAACAGACTGCGATTCCATGGAGCTGCCGGAACATTTGAGTGCTTTCTATTTACAAAGACCCGAAACGGCGTGCCTGACCAAATACTATAGTGACGGTGAGTACGATATATGGGAAATATTCTCGGTAATAGAAGCTAAACAAAAGATGCTGGCAAAGGTTAAAGAGCAAAAGATGTATTAATAGGTGTGCAAACTAGACCAGCCTCAATGAGTCGAATAAAAAATAGCATAAAATGTGAGAAATATAAGGTATAGGCTAAAAAATCCTAAAATGTATATACATATGTAAGTCTATATAAAAAGCTGTGGCAGCATAAATTGTAAGATATATTCAATTTAGGTATGCATATGCCTAAACTGACTGAGATATTTAAATACCATATATGTATAAGGACAGCTTGAACTGTCATGAATTGTAGTTAGACAGATAGAGATCTGTCATTATTAAACAGACTCACGAGATATATTAGCTACATATTTAAGAAATCGAGAAATGTAGAACTTTTTGAAACGCTAAGAATATAAATTAGATGACTGTTCTCGATATTTCGATAAAGTGCTAGAAGGTTGACAAATTTTAAGATCTATGTAGTTGAATTGTATGAAATATTATGAAATATAAAATCCATATATTTACATATTAATACAGTCTAGCTCTTCATACCCATACAACTTAAATAGTCAGAGAGTTTATCACTATCTAGATTTAGTCTCATTTATAACTGCTCAATGTGTATGAGATATATTGTATCATATATCATATATGAACAGTCAAAGTCATAGTTATGCAGCAGTTATTTCAATATTTCCAGTTTTAGTAATAGTAAATATAGACTTCTAATAACTATCAGCTATATATAGCCTCAACTGTAATTCTTTCGCTCACCTCATTTGGTACATTCAGATTTTTGGCTCGCTATCAAATTTGACGCGCATTTGTAAACTGAAATACTAGATCATTTCTTTTTTTTTTGCAATACATGTGCGCAATAGTTGATTAAAAATTCGCAAATTACATTGGCAAACGGGAAGTGAATGGAGAAATATAATTTAGTTTGTGTTTACTTAATAACTTCGTGTCTGAATTAATGTGTGGCTGGTCTTCATGTTTGCTTGCAGCACCTGGTGAAACACTGTTTGTGCGTCGTTCCTGCATTTTTGGCGATTTATCTGTATGCGACGAGAAGCCGGATCCGGTGATGCCGCACCTCAGCTTCCTGGGCTGTGTGTTCTGCCATAAGGATTATTGTAATCTGAGCTCACGTTGCGTACACGCCCACAATTTAGTGCTGGCAGCTATGCTGGCACTAATATACATATTTAACCTGTAATTGCGAATCTCAGAGCAAATTCTTAAAATTACAAAAAAAAAAAAAATCGATTTTTGATTTATTTGTTTTGTTTTTATTGTTTTTCTTTTTATACATCCACTAAAATGATTTAACATACACTTTATATATAATATTTTATTTTAAACATGTAATATATAATTGGGCATATTTTTTCCATTTTATTCGTTTATTACTATATGTGTGTGTAATTGTTTGTAATTCATAAAATAAAAAAATAATAAAAATAAAAGAAAGAGAAAACAATACGATCTTTAATTCAATTAGCAAACGTCACATATGCATGTATATATCTTTATATATGTAGGTATGTATTATTATTTATTATTATATATTTTAGTTTTGCATAATATAACGTCAGTTGAGTTCGTATATATATATATAACACACTTAGATGCCACTATATARTGGTTGGTTATTGTACAATTTAATTCATCGAAACCTAACAACGACTACACATAGAGAACAATTCATATAAATTTATATTTATATATATTTGCATATATATAGAAAAACAATGTGAACAATTGTATGTACAAAATATAATGAATTAGTTGACTGTTTGTTGCCCTTTGCCAAATACTGTTCATATAAATGAGCGCACCCGCAATCGCCTCCATCTCTCAGCCTTAGCCTCAGCCCAACGATCGTCGCGTCGGAGCATTCCTTGTTGTATGAATAGTCAACCGAGTAAATTAAAAATCTTTTATCAACAGCGCAGAAACAAGTAACAAATATATTTTATATATATTTTTTCTTATTTTTTTTGAGTTGATCAAACGTTTCAACTAGGCTATTATGGGTATAATGCTGCTTACATACATACACAATATTCTTTCAACAACACAGAGAGTTTAATTAACAAAAACTAAAAATTATAAAATACATATATATTTATATTAGTTTTGTTATATTTTCGTTTATGCCAAAAAATTTTACTGTCACGCCTTGCCTTTGTGTGTGTGTGTGTGTGGGTGAGTTGTGTGTTTCGGGTATTTATTTGGAGTACCAGCTCCGAAATGTGTCTTGAGTCATTTGTTTGTGGAGTTTTGATCTATGCGATCGGAAATTGAGTGGCGCATAGAGTTTTTGAGTCGGCGCAACTACAGCAGCAAAATCGAAACTTGTCTATGTTTTTGGCATAACTTACATACAAGTATATCGTTTTAATTATTGATTACATATTTCTATATAATTTTTTATTTTATTTATTTTATTTTTTTTTTTTGTATTCGTTGTGATTGTAACAATTCGCTTGAGTAGTGCAAGGAGCAGTCGCTAAAATGGGCGTGCTTAAACGCCAATAAGAAACAAAGCAGAACGAATATTGTGCACAGCATGTTTTCAACAATTTTCTCTTTTCTCTGACTAGAAAAATGGAAAGAAATGATAAAAAATTGTCGCAATTAAAAGAATAAAATAAAACAATTCAAAACTTGTTGTCTGCAAAAACAAAAACAAAACAAAAATCAAGTATAATTTGAGCAATGCACAAATGGAATGAATCGTAAAAAAACATTGAATTTGTTGTAAGCTTTGGATACGGATCATAAATGAGATCAATATGCGACATGTGTGCACACCCCCAACCCTTGCCCAAGCAACCCCATGGCCCACTCTATCTGCCTCCGCCTTGCACGCCCAAATAGCTTAAGTGTGGCTTCTAATCGTAGCTATAGCATGTCTATTAGATTTCTATTTAACTATTACACTGCACAGCAAGTTATGTGTTTGCTTTTTTGCTTTGAATTCATGCGGCGATTTCCGGTTAACATGAGGATTTAACATGGTACACATAGATAGTTATGTAATATGGTAAGAAAATAAAAAAGTTTCCAATGCAATTTACAAAGTATATAATTTATACACATATGTAATAATATTATTAATAACATTTATAACGAATTCAGTCAAGTCAGTAAATTTGGTTTACAGAAAGCAGAAAAATATTAATAATAAGAATACAAGTTACAATAATCGTAATATTAATCAAAAGTGTGCAGACAAATTTAACAAGAAATTTTGATTTGCATTTTTTTTTCTTTTTACTGTTTTTTTTTTTTAGATTTTCACTTTCTTTTCATTTAAGGAATATATTTTGTGTGTTGTCTGCTTTTTAAAGTTTGTATATAGAAATAGGTTTACGTTTTACGATTTACATTTAGATATACATATGTATATATAGAAATATATATATTATAATAAAGTTTCTTTTGTTTATGAATAACAACTATCGTATATATGTATATAATTTCAAAGCTTTTGCGTTTTGAAACATTAACTCACAGAGTATTTCCATTATATAATATATAATTTGTTTGTTTTGCATTCCCGCAATGGGTTTTAAACATTTAACATTACAACGATAATGACGACAACGAGTGTTGCCTTTTTTTTTTTGTTTTGTTTTAGATACATATTTATAAATAAACTTTCTTAAATGTTTACACAAATCTTCTTCGTCTGCTTGTGCATCATCATCTTTCTATCTTCTTCTCGGCTTCTGCCTAATATTTCCGCAAAAGCCGGAAGCACAAGCGTTTACGTTGCTTGCGTCTGTGTATCTGTTTGTGTGTGTATGTGTGCGTGCGTGAATAGGTGCGGATGAATAGGTCTGAGAGGAGCATAGCTGCGGGTTTCTTTTAACGCTGAGCACTTGAACATCGGCGGGCAATTTGGTTTCGGTTTTGAGAGTTGGGTCCATGCGGCCCTAATGACCTTAAACGCCCACAAAGCCGTACACCTCCAGTACGCGTATCTCGAAGTCGCCCGATGGACAAAGCGGGGGATTGTTGAAGGTCTTGCAGCCGTCTGTCTTGCCAAATCGTATATTCTCGTCCATCCAAATAGCTTGGCCCTCGCTGCAAGCATCAAAAGCAAAAATCAATAATTGTTTTATAATTTCACAAAAAATTAAAAAAAATTTAATAAAATGAAATATAATTGTCTGTTTAATTCCGAAACAGAGCTCACTGGCTAATTCAAACGCAACATAATGTTTGTAGTAGCTTAACAAAACATTTACAGTTCTTTTTTAGAACATTACATTATATAGTTATATATATAGACTTTAACTCACCCGCCGCCAATTGTTATCATTTTGGAATCGGCTGCCATAAAGAGTTCTGAGCTATGGCCCAAATCGCGGTCGCCCTCGATGCCCACCCAGGGGTATTTGGCACGCTCGGGATACAGAGAGAAGAGGAAGGTTTCGCCGGTGCCAAAGTAGGCCTGCCTCTGGCCCTTGTCATCTTTGACGTTGCGCTCGAACCAGCGCGAGGAGCAGTAGGCGCCAAATACCTAAACACAAAATTGAAATTGATTTAGAAGAGCACAATAATGACATCATAATTACACATTAACTTACTTCATTATTGCACGTTTTGATCATCAACAGCGTGGGCTCATGCTGCTCGACGCGCACGTAGAAGGTGGTCAGGGAGCAGCCGTGCTCCTCGGTGGTATAGAGCAGCACGGGTTGGTACATGGTGATTCGCACGGGCAGCCAGGACCACAGCGTGAACAGCTGTCAGAAGGAATAACAAAATTCATTAATGAGACATTCAAATTAAGCAAAACCATTTTTTGGGAATTAGCGGAGATATATTACTAGGCAAAAAGTTAGCTACAATTAACTATAAAAAAGGTAGCAATAGCCAATGTTTAAAACAGTTAAAATAATTATTTATACTCTATATAATATGTAAACACACACAAATAACAAAATTAGGCGGGGCGTGTGGCAGATACAGAGAGGTAAACGGGTTGACAGCAAGAGAGCAAGAGCGACAGCAATTGGGACTAAAACATTTTAACTAAAAGGCCATAAAGAAATAGATAAACTAAAAGCCAAGTTAATACATGAGTTATACAAAACGAAAACAAATGAAATTACTAATTTAAATACGAAAACGAATACGCTATGTTTTTGCTTGAATTTTCTGTAATTTTTTTTTAGTTGGCCAGCAGCAGCGCATGTTGAACTGTATAATATGACTGTCAAACTGTCGGCCTGCTAAACTGCAAAATGAGGTGCGATTGCGATTGCGATTTGTGTAGGCTCTATAAATGGAGAGGCATGGTTAACCAATACAAGGGACGCACACGCACACACACACAAACACACAATTAGAGAGAGTGGAAGGAAGTAAGAGACAGACAGAGAGAGAGGGGTAGAGAGAGAGTGTGTAGAAGTGTTTTTGGGATTTAGCACTAAGTGGGGAAGGACTTTTTGTTAAGTTTTCTAATAAAACGGCACAAGATGTAATTGTTTTATATATGTATGTATATATATATTTATTCGGAATGGGAATTTCTTTGGATGGATCATTCACGTTTTTCACGTTTTGGTTGAATTTTTTGTTGGTAAAATGTTGGCTCGTAATAGATAGATGTGCTTACAAATTGTCTATCCGTCCAGGTTTTAATGAAATTCGTTGTGCCCGGTAAACCAAAATGCTATGAAAAAAGATGATATATAGCAATGTCAAGATTAGATGCGATTCGAATTGAATGATCGATTTGCAATTTGACATGGGATACTGTTTTCATTGGGGCGGGGGAGGTGAGGAAACGGGATGCGGGGCCCTTCTGCTGCTAAAGACTGTGAGCGACTTAATTTTAAAGGAAATAAATAGAAAACAAAAACTCAAATCAATTAACTATAATACTTTAATAGAAAATATTGCCAACATAAGGGGAAAACTCAATCATTGCATACATCATCATCAGAGAGCATGCAGAGTGAACTATTTTTTAAGGGAAGGTGAAGCACTTCGATAAGAAGTACCGTTGAATTACAGAGTGAGAGAGATAGATAGAGAGACTTGTGGGTGCAGTTCAATAAGCGTAAACATTCCGTTGACTTAGGTGTTGTTGTTGTATGTTGATAATCTTGCTTTACAATATTACTTTAAAAAAATAAGAAATTTTATATATTTACGTTGGGATATACTAGCAAAAAAAGGTTTAGCAAATGGCGTTTTGACTGCTCTCTGGACTTACATCTTCGTT